GCAAACTATCATTAAAATTATCCATCCATTTTAGTGGAGTTAAACTCAACACTCAAGATCCAATGATGTTAATGAAGTTCATGATCAACAAACACATAGCCAGAATATATTAAAAAATAAATTGTATTTAATGAATAAGATAAAAAGGAAAAATGATTTTTAAATTGTTTTTTAAAAGGAAAATAAAAGGCAAAATATCAAACCATATTCAAAGTATCAAATAAAAATTTAAAGAGACCATAGGAAAATCAGAAATGATCTCAAATATTTTTATAAAAATTTTGGTAATTTTTAAAACAGAAAAGTATTTTTAAACTAATTAAAATCACTCAAATAAGTGAAAAAAGATAAAAAATAGTAGAAGTCAAGATAAAATTCTAGAAAAATTTCAGAAAGTCAGAAATGAGGAAAATGATTTTTATAAAAAAAATTTAGAATTTAAAAACATCAAAAAGTATTTTTAAATAATTAGAAACAAGTCAAAATAAAGGAAAAATGATAAAAAATATCAAATCTGAAAATAAAATCATGAAAAAATAAAAGTCAGAAAGAGAATATTTAAAAATATTTTTGTGAATTTTTTCAGAATTTTTAGGTCAAATTAATTTTCTATGATTTTTTGAAGTTTGGTGTAAAAAATAGAAAATAAAAATAAGTTAAAAAAAATATGGACCATTGGATAAGAGTCAAAACACGCTAGTAATCAGATCCAAATGATCAGGCACGCTGTGCATATCATGGTCAGCTTTAGAAATTGCACTGAATCACCTTTTAATACTTAAAAACAACTAAAATTTTGGCGCGTTGGATGAAGTCTGACTAATAAAAGTAATCAGATTCAAGGGCTCTCAAAGCACGCGTATGATAAAGCAAACATACCAGATTGAATTTAAAAAATCATATGTCACGCTTTCATTGGTTGAAGCACGACACGTAGGTCATCTGCAACCTCCAGACGCCCTAGATTGAGATTCTTCAAACTATAAAATTAGAGGACCAGACCGGTACCATTAGATGCATCTCTTCAAGACGATTCTAATGGTACCATCGCGCCAAATTTATATAAACTGAGCAAGGCTTAAATAGAGAAAATGCCAAAACAATAGCGAACATGAAATTCTGGAATATCTCACTCAAAACTCAGTGAAATTGCAAATTATAAAAAGCATGAGAATCAGAAGGATGCAGAGAGTATATTAGTCTTTTATTTTGATCGTTTTGACCAAGAAATCTACCTGAATGAAGTAGCAAAAGGTGGCCCGGAAACTGGACTTATGTAGATCAATATAGGTCACAATTCTTGAAGGTAAGAGTATGGTTAGTTTTAAAGAAGTTCAATGAAGCTAACTGAATGGAGCTTTTGATGTTTTGGAGTGAGAATGCAAGAAATCAGAAATTCAAATTCAGAGTTTGTGTGGGATCTGAACAGGGGTCAATTGACTATCAAAAGCTTGAGAAAATGAATGAGGGATGATCCTTATTTATAGTTGATCATGATGTAAGGCTCAAGCGTGTGAATTGGAGGCAAAATTAATGAAGTCGTGTGAATCTACTAAGTGGGAAAAGTGTGACTTCACGTGGCTCAAAACGCAGCAAAATGGATGGTTCAAGGATCGTTTCTCATTATGGCAAGTTCATAAACATGATTAGACACAGAATTGATCCTTAAACAGGCTTGTACTTGGGTTTAAACTGATTTTCAAATTTGATTGAACATGAAACTTCAATTTCAAGATGCCAACTTCATAGCCATGGTGCCAACAATGTAGGGTACTATATGATGTGATTTTTGAAGCATTGGAGAGATTTCTTGTCAAGCTTTACAATGTGAAAAGAATGGTTACATTTGGTGTCTTGGATAAAAAATTATATATCTTTGAAATCAACAAAAACACACAGATTTTTCACACTTAGAAAATTTTCTAAGTTTGACATTAAAAGTGACTTGTAATGTTTTGCATCCAAACATGGCCTTTCACTCAAAATTTGCTTTTGACCAAAAAAGACGGCATCAATTAGATCTCTTAAATGATATTTTGAGATTTTAACCACTTAAAAATTCCAAGAATTAAGAAAGTTATGACCTTGTGAAGTTGGTGAAAATCCATGAAATGACCTATAACTTTTTGAACTCTTAAGGCATCTTCTAACTATTTTCAAGCTTTGCACATAAAAGAAAAGTTGAGATTCACACTCTTAAGATTATTATGGAAAAATAATGGGCTCAAGGAGATAAGAATTGACCAAGTTATGATCTTTTAAAGTCAAACCCAAAAATCCAAAGGCCTTTCAAGGAGACTTGTAATCTTTCTCAATCATTAAGCATCTTTCACATAAATGTTTCTTGAAAATTTTGAAGTGATTTGTTGGAAACCCTTTAAAGAGAAGTATATATTTGAAATCACTCAAAAATCTCAAAAGATGAGTGAGATATAACCCTTAGAAGTTCAAAAACCTAGCTCCTAGAGCACCAAAATGACTTGGAAAACCCTTTCAATTTTGACAAACTTTCTTGCACAATTACTTTTGCCATGTGAATAAAAGTTGTTAAGGATGATAATGAGAACCCATAGCACCAAAAACCACTTCCAAATGTTAAGAATTGAGAGAGTTATGCACTTGTGATCAAGAAATCAAGAACTTGTCCAATTAGGTCAAAATTCTTCAATCAATCTTTGCACCTTTTGACTTTCTTTGACAAATTGAGGCATGATAAATCATAGTAGACCTTGTCATGATATTAATTTAAATCACTTTTAGTGTTGAAGCTTGTATCTCAATGAAACTTTGTTGAAGAAGTCATAGACACAAACTCATGCACCTAAGAATCCATCTGATGAGATGTGTTGTGTCCTCACCTATAACATCACCATTTAGAGCAAACATTCATAGTATTTGTTAGTTAAAAGTTAATCAATATAAAACATAGATGATCACAATATACAAATCAAAGTGTTTGGTGATTCCTCATGAGCAAACCTAAAGATAGGGAGAGGAACCAGACCCAATTGTGATCTTGATATGATTGAGTTGATATGAGATGATAGAGGAATCTTATGAGCAAAAATTGAGGTACAACAGAGTGCCAACACATAGCACACAGAAGCTACAAGCTTTAAAACTGCAGTACATCTGTCGACTTGAAAATCTTATGTGTCGATCTGAAAATATTGGGCTACAACATGTGCTAGCACGAAAGATTTATGTGCCGACCTGGAAATTAGATGTGCCGGCACATGTAAGTGTTTTTTGTGCATAAAATGATTTTTCATGATTTGGATCAATTTTAAACTTGTTTTGAATGCTTTCTAAGACCTCTAATGCAAGAGTATAAAAAACGACATAGAGATATCCTCTAATATACAAAAACACTAAATTTTTCTAATTTTGACATCATGCAAAACATCTAATGGTGAAGTTGCACTCACATATCTTCCATAACACCTACCACTCAAAATAATACCAAAATTTTACTGACATTTATCGATAAAAAAATAAATTTATTTGTGCAATCGCACGGGTATTTTGCTAACACATATATTTTGTTAGTTTAAAAAAAAAATTATTCACATGATCTACCTAATATGAAGTTTTAATTTAACGATTATATTTGTAAAATTTTAGTTTTAAAAAAAAATTATTCACATGATCTACCTAATATGAAGTTTTAATTTAACGATTATATTTGTAAAATTTTAATATTTATAATAAATTTCTAAGAAGAATAATTCAATGTAGAGTTATTTCTAGTGATATGTCTAGGAAAGTTGATCCCTTATGGATCTGGATTCTTTCCGACAGTTTTGCAGTTACTGTCTATCTAGCTCCATCTTAGCCATCCATCGATCTTTTCATTTTTTTTTTTTAAAAATTATTTATTTCTTCTATATTAATTCTGAGTCATTAGATGAAGAGCTGGAGGAATGACAGATGAGGAAAAAAGACAACAAAGGATTTATTTCTATCGAATTTATATCCTCTGTTGTTATCTCTCTCGTGCTGTATGTACTGCACTAATAATTGTTGTTGGATTCATGATAAATTTTTGTCTCTGCAGTATTTACTTACTTTTCCAACCATTTGATTTATGATAAGATGGAAGGCTGCAAGCAGGCGAATTTTCATTAGGCGTGGTTTTAAAGTAAAAAATTATTTAAATCGCAAAAGAAAAAAAATATTATTCAGTTTAGTTGAATTGACTTTTAAAAATAAAATAAAATTAAACTAATTCGATTTTGATTGATTTAGTTGATTCAATTTTTAAAAAATATATATTATTAAAATATATATATATATGTGGAGAAAAATATAGTTTTACATTTAGTCATTTATAAATTACTATAAAAAAATTTATAATTGCTAAAATAAATTTATAATTTAATACACAAAATTGCGTATTATAATTTTATCTAAATCTAAAGAATGATATACAGAAGATTGCATTCTTAAATAAATATTATACAAAAAATACGATAAAATATATTTTGTGAAAATAGTATTTATAAATAAAAAATATTTTATTTTTTATGATTTATAAATTAAAATAAATATCATACAAAAAATATGATAAAATATATACATAATACAGGTTGATTTCTCTAAACAATTAAAGAATATATTAATTAGTAAGATTTTATAACATAATGCGATTTAATTTGGTTTGATTTGGTTTACAAATTATAAATCGCAAACTAAACCGAACCGCGCGGTTCTTTAGAAGATAACTCAAACACATCAAAATAAAATACGATTTTTTACAATTTCAATTTAATTCAGTTCAACTTTACAATTTTTTATTGGGTCAGTTTAGTTTTGAACACTTCTAATTCTCATTTCCATCCCATATATAGAATAATTTGAAGATAATAAATAAATATAGAATATCTTGATTGATTTTGTGACCGATAAATATATTTTAACTGTAGAGAATTAATAAATAAATAAAATGTAAATAGCAAAGATTTAGGAACAAACGAAAAAGGAACAAACCCTATAAATAAATGAAATGTATTATGCTACAACCTATAAGTGAGTATAGGATTTAAACTTGCCTTGCAAGTTTGTTTACAGTAACATATTTTTCTTCGTCTATGTTTTTTCCAAACTCTTTGGTGAGAATCGACCACTAGCAGTGTGTTAAAGTAGGAACCTTTTTGCAATTCAACAAGTTAGTGTTTTGTTTGTTCCCTTTTCTTTCGTATAGGAGCTGAATTGGGTGTGATAATGGGAAAAAAGGTTTGGCTGGGAAGTGATTCTAAGTCTAATCAGATTTCTCAGAATCAGCTTATGGAGGACCTGATGAAACAAGTCATTGATGGAAAAGACACTGAAGTCACATTTGATAACTTGCCTTTTTACTTAAAGTAAAAGTGTCATATTTCTTAGCCTAATGTTCTTTGAAAAACTTTCTATATTTTTGTTTCGTGCAATGAAGTTTATAAGCTTATATAATAAACAGGCTTAACAACATTGTAGTTTTAATGAACTATGGATACTCTTTTAGCACAGTCATATGTTTGATTCTCAAGTCTTGTCACATGTATAGTTTTGGCTACGTAGCACCCACATCTCTGAAAAATGTGTGTCCCTGCACTAACATTTATAATTATGTTTAATTAATTTATTTATTTAAATTATTAGCGGCTTCGCCGTGTCAGTGTCTTTTTCGGGGTGTCAGTGTTGTTGGTTTAGCCTTGATGGGAATAATTATTTTTATGATTCATACATTTGCTGAGAATAACTTTCTTTTTCTTACAGTGAAAGGATCAAAATTTTGTTGGCAAGTGCGGGATATTTTCATTTAAGACAACATGACCTATCCAACCACACTACCAACCTTTCGCCACTGAGCCGAGCTATTTTGCTTTCTGAACCTATCGGTATATTGTGTACAAACCCTGTCTTGTAACGCGATAATTATTTTGGATTTCGAGTCATATTACTAACTCTAATGATATTTTTATTTGTGAAGAGCTTTATCATCATATGCTTGCCAAAGCTTTAGCCAATTGCTTTGAATCAAAGTTGCTGTGTCTAGATATTGATTACTTCTCTTTGAAGGTAGTTAGTTATTCACATCTTTGCACTTTATTTGATTTGGTTTGTGTTATATATGTAATGTAATCATACCTTTCATGTTTTCGCTTGTACAGATGCTGCAGGGCAAAGATGGATGTTCTACAAAAGAACCAGTAAGTTTTGTGTGCTCCACCTTTCGTTTTTGCTCTGAATTTTAATAATTTTTGGTCCATAGTGAAATTTTCTAACTTGCTTCTTATATATTAGCATTTAAAAAGGTCCATATTTGAGGCGACTCGGGAACGTGTATCTAGTTTATTTAGTCGTCTGCCACTCCACCCTTCAACAGATGTGATTAGAGGTACAAAAGGAAGTAGCAAAAGTTCAACAAATGTGATTAGAGCTACAAAAGGAAGTAGCAAAAGCTGCGACTGTTTTGATGAAAAGCTTTTTCTAGATTCACTCTACAAGGTGAATATATGAAATATAACTAATCTTAATTTGTTAGGATCTTTTGCCACAAGTTCAGTTTTAACAAAAAAATCTTATAAATTTTACAGGTCTTGGTTTCTTTATTAGAAACTGGTTCTGTCATTTTATACATCAAGAATGTTAAGAAGATCTTTCTTCGATCACCAAGGATGTGCATTTTGTTCAAAAAGCTATTCGATAAACTTTCGGGACCAGTGTTGATACTCGGTTCTAGGTCAGATGATTTAAAAGATAATTGTACAGAAATCAATGAAAAACTCAGTATGTTATTCCCTTACAATATTGAGATTAAACCGCCTCAGGATAAGGCTCATCTCAAAATCTGGACAGAGCAACTAAAAAAGGCCATGGAAAAGACTTCTTTGGAAGATAAAACCACCGGCATTGCTGAAGTGTTTGCAAAAAATGGCATCGATTGTAATATCTTGGATTCAGTTAGCGGTACTGACATGATGCTACTTAGTAAACACACCGAAGAGATTGTGGCATCTACAATTTTTTATCACTTGAAGAATACTGAAAATCCAGAGTACCGAAATGGAATCCTAACTATATCGGCCACGAGGTAAAGGTCTTGGAAATAACTGTTTATGCAATTTAATTTATTTAGAGAAGAAATATTTTTCTGGTTACTATATTAGACATATGCAGTTTGTGCCATGTATTGAGCCTTTTTAAGGAGGGTGAAAATGGTGAAAAGAATGAAAACAACACTGAAAAAGAGTCAAAAAAGGTTTGTCGACTGTTCTTCAACCAAAGCATAATGATTCATCTAATGAATAATCCAAATAGAAAAAGCATGATAGTTATTTTTTTCGACAATAGCAATGAATGATAGTTGAATGCTTATTTAACTAATTGAAAAAAATTTGATCATTTTTTTGTTTTTTTTTTCTTTTTTCGTTAGGATGATGCCGGAAAAGATAAACCTATTTCAAACGGGACAAAGAAAGACAGTGATATTAAAGCTATTTCAAACGGGACACATAAAGACAATGATATTAAAGTTGTTTCAAACGGGACAAAGAATAACGGTGATAACGCGACAAAGAAAGAAAGTGATATTAAAGATACTACAAAACCTGTATGGCCAGTTTTTTATTAAATAACCAAATATGCAGTTCATGATATATAAGCTCAATTTTTATGTTTAACTAATTTCCATTTTTTTTGCTAATTTATACATGTTTGCAGAATGTTCGTCCTGACAACTCCTATGAGAAGTTAATAAGACAAGAGCTTATCCCTGCAAATGAGATAAAGGTGAGTTTTTCAGATATTGGTGCATTGGATGTTGTTAAGGAATCACTTCAAGAAGCGGTTATGCTTCCCCTTAGAAGACCAGATCTATTCAAAGGCGGTGGGTTATTGAAGCCATGTAAAGGTGTATTGCTTTTTGGACCTCCCGGTACAGGAAAAACAATGCTTGCAAAGGCAATTGCAAATGAAGCTGGAGCAAGTTTCATCAATGTCTCTTCGTCTACCATCACTGCTAAGTGGTTCGGACAAAGTGAAAAGAATGTTCGAGCTCTGTTTTCATTAGCGGCAAAGGTTGCCCCGACTATTATTTTCATTGATGAAGTTGATAGCTTGCTTGGGAAGCGGACTATGAATGAGAATAGCGTTTTGAGAAGGATTAAAAATGAATTCATGACCCATTGGGATGGACTATTGTCAAAACCTGATGAGAAAATTATTGTTCTTGCTGCAACCAACATGCCATTTGCCCTTGATGAAGCAGTTATAAGACGGTTTCAGCGCAGGTAGAAACACACATTTGTTATGACTCGTGATCAAATGTTGCACATGCTCTAGTGTAATATCTTTTTCGCTTGCAATATCACTAGATTGAGTTTACCTTTAGATAAACAAACCTTGTGCAGTTAACGAGCCTGGCAATTTTTTGCAGGATCATGGTTGGTCTTCCATCTGCTGAAAACAGAGAAGTGATCTTGAAAACTCTTGTAGCTAAGGATAAACTTGAAGATATAGACTTCAAAGAGCTTTCAACTATGACAAAAGGATATAGTGGGAGTGATCTTAAGGTTCATTTTGTTCTATTTCTATTCCCTATACTTCTTGTTTCTGGTGATAATGATCTATTAACATTAATTTCTGTAAACAGAACTTGTGCATGACTGCAGCATATCGCCCTCTTAAGGAGCTAATGCAACAGGAGAAGGCCAAAGAAATGGTATAGTTACTTAATTGCTTCTAATAATGTCATTGTTAAAATGATTTCTATACAATGTGTACTGTTGTTCATGCGCTGTAAAGCTAAGTAATGACCACTTATTTCAGAAAAAGAAGAAAAAAGAGGCAGAAACTGAAACCTCACAAGTTGCCTCCAATGCTACGGAAGAAGATCAAGTGATTGTCCTCAGGCCTTTAAACATGGAAGACATGAGAGATGCAAAGAATAAGGTGTGTTAGACTTTAAAGTTTAAACAGTTCACTTCAATTGTTGTAGAGTGAGCTACGGCTTCTTTATAAGCTCTTAAATATAAATTATGGCATGTCCGTAAGTTGTTTTCAGCTTATTTCTATAAGCTCTCAAATATAAACTATGAAAACATCTTAAAGTTTATATGAAAGCAGTTTGTGTTTATGTTATCTTTTGATTTAGAAATATCTTATACATAATAACCAAAGTTAAGATAGCAGCACATGTTCTGTTTAGACACTGTTAAATTAATCTAATAGTGTTTGTAAGAGATGATAAACTGGTTCAGTCATATCTATTTGATCAAATTATATATTTTGTGGAGGATTTTAAGCGTAATTATATGACAATGCATCAATACGGAAGAAATAATGTGTTGTCTTCTTCCAGCTGAATACTTATTTCTATGCATAGAAACTGATATATGAATGTGTAAATATACAGGTTACTTCAAGCTTTGCTGAAGAAGGATCAAATATGAAAAAGTTAGAGCAGTGGAATGATTTGTATGGAGCTGGAGAAGGCTTAAGGAAGAAAAAGGAGCAGCTCAGTTATTTCTTTTAGATTTAGAAAGCCAACGTTTGGACTATTTGTTTTTGCATATAGATGGATAACTAAGTCCAAAACAAACCTTCAAACACAAGAAAAATTAACTGACAGACCATGCAAACTTTTTATATTTATAAATCAATAGCTTAAAAAATAAAAAAAAATAAAAAATTATAATTGAGTAAAACATTGAGTTAATCCTTTAATAACTTATTCAAATCATTAAATTTGATCAATAGTTGAAGTTAAAGTCTTATCGGGGAAAATTTAACTTCAACTATATGTATATAATTACTCATACTGAAATAATATAAAACATAATATGAATGCATAATAGAAAATGGATAAAAATATATTCAAAACAATAATGATATTTTGACATTAGGGGCACCGTATGTATGTTATGTTTTAATTCTTCTTTTTTCTTATGTGTTTAACTCACTCATAGAAAATACGACCCAATGCTATCAGCATTTGGCACGATAGATGGGAAGAATGGTTGAGTTTTTGGTGCACCATCAGCACTAGTGGCACCAGCGCCTAACAATTCCCTGAAGGTTAACCCTCCAAAAGTTAGGGTTGTCCAGAACAATCAAAAGTCAAATGGCCTTGATGTGGTATTGGTTCAACGAGACCAAGATGCCGACAAGCGCAACATGATAATCTTGGGGGCAAAATAATATTACCAATGTGGTCGAGCGAATTATGGCCCAGAATGGCCTTAATGTTGGCCACCCCAAGCCAAATTTCGTGTCACCAATTGTCGCAATACGTGAGGCAAGTCGAATTATCTAGGAGTTGGAAAGTCCCGAAATTTATCAAGTGCACTGGTGACGCTAGTGAATGCACCATCGAACACATAGTCAGGTACCAAGCAGAGGCCGGTGATTTAGCCAACAATGAAAATTTGAAAATAAAATATTTTTCTATCTCATTAACGAATAATGCCTTCACGTGGTTTACCACTCTTTCTCCAAATTCTATCTTTAATTGGAATCAATTGGAGAAAGTATTCCACAAATAGTTTTATATGGGACAATTAAAGATTAGTCTCAAAGAATTGGCCAGTGTAAGGTGAAAGGTGGTTGAAAGTAATAATGATTATCTCAATAGGTTCAGAATCTTGAATTCGTGATGTTTTACGCAAGTGCCAAAACATGAATTGGTTGAACTGGAAACAGGGGGTCTTGATTACTCCATTAGAAAGAAATTAGACACACAATATCTAAGGAACATGTCCCAATTGGTCGATAGAGTTCGACAAGTCGAACGATTGAAGTCTAAAAAGGTCAAAACCTTTTTCAATAAGAAGAAAGTGACTTACGTCGAGGTTGACAACACAGGAAATTCATCTGACTTAAATTATGAATGTGTATAGGAAAATGAGGTCAACGTAGCAGAATTGAAGTCAGGACCCTCTTACACATGCGAGCTGCTAAAAACCTCAAATGGGAAGAATCTCGTCAAACCAAAAAATGAAAATTTTATTACTAAAACATATACTTTTGACGTCACTAAGAGTGACGAAATCTTCGACCTGTTGGTTTCTGATGGGAAAATTGTTGTTCTTAAGGGGGCTAAAATCCCACTGTTAGAACAAAGAAAGAAAAAAGGTTTTTTTTAATTTCATTACTTTTTGGGTCATAAAACTTATCAATGTGTTTTTTTCAGGAATCTGGTGCAAAATACTCTCATGGATGGTAGGCTCAAGTTCGCTGACAAGCAGAAACCACGATCTGAAGGAGATGTTTAAACAAAAGTTGAAGAGGCTCTCTTTGTAGAGCCAGTGGAAGTTATGATGGTCGACATTATCGACGAAGCTAAGGCTAAAGATAACAAGGCAAACTATGAAGATCAAACAACATAGGTCAACCCCAAAGTTGAAGAGGAACTTATTGACTTTTTGAATCCATTCAGGTTTAAAGATTCAAAAGTCATGTTATGCCCCAGATGCAGTTTTATTTTTGACAAAGAAGATGCTAGAGAGATGGAGAGGGTGAACCCTTACCTAGAAAAAAAGTATGTTCGACTAGACAAACCGAAGGAAGTTTATTTCGATAAGTAAGGAGGTTTAAAAAAATTCCAAACTATGATGTACGCCCCTAAGCATTGGTTGCGATCTGCAATAAAGCCAACTGCTGATGGGGGCAAGTGGAAAGTAGTTAATGTTGGTGTTAGCTCCTTATATAGTGATATCTCACAAGTCTCAAAGAAGTATTCCTATGTTTCACAAAACTACATGGGAAAAAATTCCATGACCAGGACTCAATAGATGAGACACCAAAGAAAACATTCTTCTCGAGAGGCTGGAAGTTCTAGCAAAGAGAGTAGCATTCAAGCTACTGACGAATGCCAATCTAGTCGAAGGCCAGTTAAGAAAAGGTTATTTTCCCCTCTGTCACCAGTAAATGAGGAGAAAGTGACAAAGGCCAAAACATACGAAGATGATGACATGGAGGTAGACGACTTCGATTTAGGGTCTGAACCATAGTTAGATATCATTTGTAATATGATATATGTCTCTCTGTTAGAGCATGACACTGTCACATAAATGATTGAAGAAGAAGGTGGTTTAAACGAAGAATTGGCCCCCCATAAGCCTATGTGTTACTATGTAATGAATGATGGCTCAGTGGATAAAGACCACACCATTTTCAAAAGACCAGACATGGCCATGCAACGACACCTGAAGCCTTTGTACATCAGGGGCAAGGTAAATGGCGTAGGAATTAACAAAGTCTTGATCGACTGTGGAGCGTATATCAATTTCATGCCATAATTCCTTTTGAAGAGAGTAGGCAAGGAAACTATTGACCTAACCTGTAACAACATGGTTTTGTCAAATTATGAGGGAAAAACAAGCAAGACCTTAGAGGTCATGGAAGTCGACGTGGTTGTGGGAACAACTACAAGAGCAACATTGTTTGTCATGGTACCTACAAAGGCGAACTACAACCTATTGTTGGGTATGGAATGGTTACATGGAGTGGGATGTGTTCCTTCGTTCATGCATTAGAGGATCACCATTGGAAGCATGATGGGATCGTCGAGCATATAGAAACAAATTTGATTTATTATAGAGCAAATGTCAACCATATCTATTGAGTAAATTTTAACCGCAAATTTCTAAACATTTCTCCATGTGGACCATTCGGAGAAGATTTTAACTTTAAAGGACGTGAGGTGTATTATTCAGTAAACCTACATCCTCAATATTGGTTCACCTGGGAATATGAGACTGCCAAAGGTTATAACAGATGGTCTGAATCCAAAGAAGATCAATGATTGAGTTGAGCGCTTTAACTCAAATTTCGGCATATGTGGCTGAAAATAGAATAATGGCGACCTTAGAGTCCAAATATCAACAAATTATGGCTATCAAATCCATTGAGTTTGAGAATTCTCAGGAAAACCAATCTGGATACACCGACCAAACAACAACTTCAAAAAGTAGGATGCTAAACTACATCTACGATGATGAGCCTCTGGGGTTCGAAAAAGACCCAACAATCTCGACCAGGAAAATGCAAGCAGAAGATCCATTGGAAGAGGTGGATCTAGGAGATGGGACGATGAAGAGACCAACTTACATCAGCTCCAAACTCGCCTCATATATGAAAGAATAAGTAATCAAAGTATTAAAAGAGTTTATGGATTGCTTCACTTGGTATTCTGATGAAATGACTGGACTTATCCATGATTTAGTGGAGCTAAAGCTATCAATCAAACCTGACAAGAGGCTAGTAAAGCAGACCTCAAGAAGGTCTACACCAGAAATCATGTCTAAGATCAAAGCTGAAATTGAGAGACTGCTCTGAAACAAGTTTATTAGATGTGCAAGGTATGTCAAATGGTTAGCAAATATTATTCCATTTACTAAGAAAAATGGCACTCTAAGAGTCTGCATTGGCTTCAGAGATCTTAACACTACTACCCTAAAGATGAATATCAGATGTCAATGGCTGACATGCTAGTTGATTTGGTTGTTGGGTTCGAGTATCTTAGCCTCCTCAATGATTACTCTAGGTATAACCATATTTTCATTGCAGAGGAAGACATAGAAAAAGCAGTGTTTCGAGGTCCAAGGGCCTTAGGCACATGCGAGTGGGTAATGATGCCTTTTGGCCAAAAGAATGCTGGTGCCACTTACCAAAGAGTAATGAATTTGATGTTTCATGACTTCATTGAAATATTCATGCAAGTATACATTTATGACATACATAGTAAATCTTGATCTGAGAGTGTCCATCTAGACCACCTTCAACGATCGTTCGAAAGGATGAGGAAACACATGCTTAAGATGGATCCATTAAAGTGTGTTTTATGTGTTCATGCATGTGATTTTCTTCACTTTATAGTCCACAGGAAGGGAATTGAGATAAATTCAAACAAAACAAAGGCCATAAAAAAAATACTAAACCCCCGACCAACAAAAAACAACTCCAATCTTTGTTAAGAAAAACCAACTGTCTGGGAAGACTCATTTTGAATCTAAGTGGAAAGACAAATGGGTTCTCACCATTTATACGCTCAAGAGAGAGGAAGGTTTCATGTGGGAACCAGAAAATCAACGGGCCTTTGACGACATTAAAATGTACATGTCGAAGCCTCCAACGTTGCTACCTCCTGTCGTACCCAAAATTTGCCCTACCCTTATGATCGTATTTTCAAGATTAAAAGTGGAAGAGAAATGTTTTGATTAAGGATGGTCCATCAATATCTGATTGCTCATTTTTAAAAATCCAAGTCAAACAAAGGGGTCTATTTTAATTCAGGAGAGTAGGGCTTTCTAAATCAGAAAGTCCCATGTATCCGTGGGCCCATTTACGAAGCATGTTGGCCAATGGCCCATGAGATTCGAATGTGGAAAATTATTTCAAAAAAAAATTATTAAGTTCTTAATTATAATAAAGCCTATTTAGGGATTATCGTTGTTATTAAAAAGGTGGTGCAACTTCGAATTAAAAGTCCATTAGAATTTGGTCCATTTCATAATTAAATAGCAAAAGTGGGGT